TACCTGATCCCTTCGACGCCTCATGATCTCACAGGCTGGTGTGCTTCTTCCATGTGGGCTTTGTTGTTTCTCAGTTGGATGGCCGCTTGCTTATCTTCAAGCCTTTAAGACCCTAGACACTCTATCTTTTGATAGCCGGGCACCATCAGCTTTCTTCACCACATTTGCATATGCAGTCATCTTCAGCGATCGTGCCAGGAAGGTGAGCATCTCAGACTGCTGAATTGTTAAAACAAAGTGTTCTTGTGTTGAGGGAGTACCTGAGTAGGGGGGGCCCATTGTCCACCTGTTTCCTTAATACTAAACCTATAAATATATGTACATAGATCTATTTCCCCTTTGTCATATATAAATATATTTACATCTGTATATGCCTGTATTTAGATCTCTATAAATGCCTTTTGACTCCTAGTTCTTTCCTCTATTTCTTTTTACTTTCCTCTTGTCCCACTATCATGTTCAGCCTTCATTTGGGTTTCAGGAATTTCTCTCGGTTACATTGTCCTTAATCCAGCCCTGCCAGACCTCCTACACTCTCCTTGCCACTGATTTTGGATCACTTGTTCCCTTGTCCCTGGGTTTGTTAACACCCACTTCCTTTCCCTCACCTCCCCCTCTCCCATGTCCCTCCGGAACTGTCGTCCTGTTGTTCTCTCTTCCAGCTTGTTTATCCCGCCTATCCCTTCCAGGTAGACATGCAGCGACAACAATATGCACCATCACAAGACCGAGCACAAGGAAGCAACAATAGAAAAGAAAACAATAGCTGCAACAACAAAAAGGCAACAAAACCCTATAAATAGTTCAAGGTCTATTTGTTATCCTTTATGAGTGCTTTCCAGTCGAGTCTGATGGGGTGCCATACCCTGGCCCCACATCAATCCCTGGCATTCCATGGGGACTTCATTGCTCTGCTCCCCTGCTGCTCTGCTGCACGCCCCCAGTGTCTGGCTTCGGTGAAGTGGGCTCAGGGTGGGCACAATTCCTGCTGTGTGTCTCTAGTGTTGTCCCACATGGTGCTATGGATCAGTGAAGAATATTGTGAGACTGCAACTCTTTCATCGCTTCCCCTCGGAGCCACTGGTGGTTTTGAACTGCTAACCTTGAGGTTAACAGCCCAAAACATCCCCGCAGCATTCTACAAATGCTTTAGTTGTCATGTAAATGGAAGAAAAAAAAGAAGAATCCAGAAAACAGATGCTAAGGTGTCCCTGTCGGTTTTCCTAGGGAAAGTGAGCCTGGCAGTGTGAGGCCAACTCTTGATGACCTTGGGCTTGAACCAATGCTAGGGTGGGGAAGCCCTGGACCTTTTCCTCTCTTCTAGTTTGGCCTCTCATCACTGAGAGTCACATTGTGTCCCAGCTAGGAGAGGAAACGATGGGTGGGCTATTTCCCCCACCTCTTGGAATGGGATGATGAGCCAGGTTGGCCTCTGGTCCGGAGGATGGGGCTCAAACCACCTGTGCAGCTCTGTGGGAGAAAGGCCTGGTGATGGGTCCTCAAACCCCACAGTCGTGGCAACCCTCCCTGGACACTTGTACTCTGGCACGTGGGACCACCGTGAGTCAGACTCAAGGGTGCCTGACACCCACAACTGATGAGGCCGTGAGGAAGTGGAGTTTTTTGTGGGTGTACATTCTAGTACAAGACAACAGAAATGAAATTCAGCATTGTCTAGAGATTCCAGTTCCCTGGGGTGTCCTTGGTGCCCGGGTGAGGGCTGGCTGAACCCCACGGGAACACTGACCGGACAGGTGGGCATTGAGTTCCGACAGGAGCACAGCACGGGGGCTCAGTGAGAGAGGCACCTGAGAGTCACAGAGAGTCACAGGCCCCAGGACAGAAGACGGGACCTCTGGAAAGGTCTTGTGCAGGGGCTGGCAAATCTGCCTCTCCCAGCAATTCAAAGAAATGATTCGAGAGCCATAGATATGTTTCTACAAACAAATGAAACCACCAGGATCTGAATCGCAGCCTCTACGTCTTACTTTAGTGCCATGGGAATGTAACCAAAAGAGCCTCATTGGACTCAAGACCCCCAGTTTGCCGACCAAAGGTCTAGCGCAGGGGTCCTCAAACTTTTTAAACAGGGGGCCAGTTCACTGCCCCTCAGACCATTGGAGGGCTGGACTGTAGTTTTAAAAAAAACAACTATGAACAAATTCCTAGGCACACTGGACGAGTTGGCTGCTAAGCAGGACAGGCAGCGGTGGCAAAAACACCCGGCGGGTTCGATAAATGTCCTCAGCGGTCCATATGTGGCCCGCGGGCCATAGTTTGAGGACCCCTGTGGACTGAGCCAACGTGTGGCTAACGCCGGATGAGGACCATGGTAAAGTTAGAGTGGCTCATAAGTGATCTTGGTGATGGGAAATGGAACAAAGAAACCGATAAATGCAGGCTACTTAAAAAAATTTTTTTTGTCATCTTAGAAAAGTTGATGAAAAATGCTAGCCGTAGTTAGACCCAGAATGAAATCAATGATGCCGTGCAAGCACAGGGGTAAGGCCAGTCTCAAGTGGGGAGCTGACCCACGTGCGGTGACTCCTTTGGGGGACAGGAGGCATCACGCCAGGGGCTCAGCCAGGAGCACCTGATGAACTGGAACCCATGATGTCCCCCCACCCCCCATGAGCTTGCCCCATGGGATAGGCATGGCAGGGAAGAAAGTAAACCATGATGTGTCAAGGAGTGGACACTTTAGTGATGTTTTATTTTACACGGTTGTAGCGGATGTGAGGTCCGCCCCCAACTCAGGGCTACTGTGCACACAATGGGATGGCTGGAATCCTGCCTGGTCCTGCACCAGCCCCAGGAATAGTTCCAGGTCAGAGCTGCCCTGTTCCCCCTTGGCTGGTTTTCCGAAGGTGGTCCCCCAGCCCTTTTCGTAGTCTGTTTGAGTCTGGAAGCTCCCTTGCATCCCAGGCACCACACTGGAGCCCTAAACGCTTCACTCGCTCCAAGCAGGTTGAAGCCCAACTACCAGGCCTGCGACTGACCTGGAGTTCTTGTCTCCCTTGCATTCTGACTGCACCCCAGGGTGGAGGGACAGTGGCAGAGATGCTGAGCGTCCGGTGGCTTTGCTATTTCCACCAGCCATCCTGCACACCCCAGGGTGACAGGGCTCACAGAGTCTGCCTTCCTGGCTTTTCTCCTTCTGTTTCCAGCACTCAGAGAGAAAGGGTGCTGGAAGCTACGTGGCTAGACAGGGGCGAGGTGGCCCCCGAGCTGCTGTTTTATTTTCCTTTCGTGGGTGACGATAGGGAAAGATCTAGTGTCGACTGCCCACAGTCCCAGGTCATTTTCCCCCCTTTCTCTGTCATCTTTAAAGATGATGCACAATGTGTGAATGTGGCCCACAATTGAGCCTAATTATGATTCTCCTGCAAGCACACTGCTTTTTGGAGGAAGTCTTAAAGGAGCACTTAGACGATAATGCCTCTACCCTGTCACTGTGGGCCACAGCAGCGCCGAGCCTTCACAGGCCCGGGCTGCGCCCTCTGCTCCCACAAGCACTTTTATCACCAGTTCTGAGACCATTATGGTCTACGATGGTCTTTTACCGCCTGCGATTTTTTTTTCCTGTTGTCAGACGTGAGGGAAGTGATGTGTAATATAATTCAAAATGCTCTTGTTTGTTTTAATCTGTTTTAATATATTATGGCTTCCTGCCATTACCCTTCTCTGGCAGGGCCCCGAGGCCCCTGGAGACAGCTGCGAGCCGGGAACGCACTGGCCACTCAAGGGCTTGGGCGCAAAGTGTGGGCAGGCTAGCTCCTGCCAGGTGGGCACTCGGCACAAGGGAGCTGGCCACCAGAAAGCAGAGTGGCCTGGGCCCTGGTTCCCAAGGCATCTCTTCAAGCATATTACCGTGATGATGGAAGTTGTGCCACTGATATTTCAAATAGCAGAGCCATATCCAGCGAGGACAGGTTTCAGAGCGACGAGAGAGAAAGGCCTGGCAGTCTACACCTGACGGGGCACAACAAAGCGTTATCTGACTTGCTTGCTGTGTACATGTCATCAGGAGTGCTCAATCACCGAAGGAGGTCGCCATATTTAGGGATGTCCAGGGCCAACAAGGACGTGGGAGATGCAGGGAGTTGGAGAGGTACACCAGCTGTGTGGAGGGCCTCCAGTGTACTCGCAATCCTGAGGATGATGCAGGACCGGGGATCACTTCCTTCCTGTGCACTTGACGTTGAGTTGACAGCACCTAACAGCAGCAGCATCGTTCCATTTTAAACACGTGGCTACTAGAAAGCACCAAGACATATGTGGCTCATTTAAAAAAAATTTCTACACCCCCAAGAAGAACAGTCCATTAGAACATGTACACATAGCTCTCCCCTCCATCTGGAGAGATAGTCCCAGATCCATATCCACACCAGCATCCCCTAGCCAACTTAGACTCTCGGAGAATAATTCTTTCTTAGAGCTGTCTTCAACACTAAGCTCTTTTACTTTATTATTATTTTCCTGTAAAACAAAACAACTACAAGTGGAAAACAAGTCTAACTCATCACAGAACAGAACCTAGATTCAGGTGGGTGCTTTCCTGCATGGCTTGTCTCCTCATTACTGTCCACAGGACTCTGAGCAGTTGTGGGAATACCTATGCAGGCATAGACTCAAGGCCCGCCTTGATCTCTGACGTTGTAGAAAAGGACCAGGCACCATGCACCAGCAGCAGAGCCCTGTGCTCCCCTATGCCACCTGGACAGAGCCCGGGGAGAGTGTCCACATTGTCGGGATGTGGCTCATATTTTTATCCTGCAGCATTATTCTGAAAGCAAAAGGGGGACAGGGGGACACTTGATAAAAGAATAAGAATATAAGGCACCAGACTTCCCATCGATGATAGTGGGGACAGATGAAAGTCATGGCTTTACATTTTCTGTGGAGGGAACCCAAGAGATCTTAAACCCAGGGTTCAAGATAGCCCAACTCTCCAGCAAGTCTGAGATACAAGATTCCAGAACCTTGCTCTTCCACGTGGCATTTCTTTAAAAACAAGCCAGCGGATTTGAAGACGGACTTCATCGAGGACAGCAGAGAGAGAGAAGCCCAAGATTCCAGGACCATGCCTGGGAACCAGAAGGGCTCCTGGGGACCCACTCCACCCCAACTTGAACAAGCAGGTCACAGTCAAGCGTCACGTCAGAGGCCTTAGAAAAAGATCGCATTGAGGCTGGTGTGTGTGTGTGTGTGTGTGTGTGTGTGTGTGTGTGTGACTGAACAGGCTGAACAAGTGAGAATTCGACAGCTCTTGGTGCTCTGAGAACAAGGAGGGAGGGGTTCTGTGTGGTTCCCCCCTGCTCAACAAGAGTAACGGAAATACAGTTAGGAATGCCACATCAACAGAAAGTCAAAGAAACCAACTTCCGAAGAAAGTTACGATTCAAACATGAAGCCAGCAAAAAGGTGCTCTGATGTTGAGCCATTGACGGGAGCTGAGGAAAGAGACAAGGCCAGTTGACTTTGACTCTTTGCGACATTCTTCCTTGAGCATCTCTGGTGATTCATGATGCTGTTCTTGTTGTGGGTTTTTCTTTCAGTGGGTTTGACCCCACTCTTTCTGCTGTGAATGATAAATTTACAAGCATACTTGTGATAGACTGGGTAGACAAGAGAAACAAAATCCAGAGACACTCATATATGTATAAGAAAGAGTTTTATGCCAAAGAACAATTACATATTGAGAAAATACCCCACCCCAGTCCAGAGCAAGCCCATACATCCGATATTAGCCCATATGTCTGATACTAACCTATAAGTCCCTGTTCAGACCTACACAGCACACGCACTAGTGCCAAATGCAGTAAGATCGCAGGCCGGTGGATGAAAAGTGTTGGGAAGCCAATGCCGGTGGAAGCATCTCAGCTGGAGTGTGGGTCTCCACGTGGCTCCTCCAGCTCTCCGAGTGTCTGGCCAGCAGGAAGGGGAAGCAGAGAGAGAGAGAATGTGTAGTCTGCTTCCAGGTAGAAAGAGAGGAAATTCCCAGAATCCTCATGAGAAATCCACGCTCATAAGGAGGCATCATGAGGCTGCAACCACCTGGTTGGCAGGCTAACCTCCACCCCTTCTTTCTACTCATCAAGTTGACATGAAATTATGTAGTAACTACCACAAGACTCATAGATTATACTCGGGTGGTTACCAGTTTTCGTTTTTAACTCTCAAAAAAAAAAAAAAAGTGGCTTCAATTAATAGCATCGAATCTGAGGGGAGGGGCCGACTGGAGGAGGGAAGGCCGAGTGACATGCGTTCACGTTGCTTCTGGGTGAGGAGAGAGATGCTGGCTATGGTGGGGCACAACTAGAGGATTCTGGGTAGTTTTAACGTATTTGTTATAATGACGCTCTATCACAAAGTGACAGTGTCCTCTGTGGCTGCTGGTTGGACTTATTCGATGGCCCGTGTACAGCAGAGGGAACGCCGTCCTCACCGCTGTTCCATTGAAACTCATTGTTGCAGCACTGCGTCAACCCATCTCCTCGACTGTCACTCTCTTTCATCAATCCATCTCCTCTTGGTGGTCTCGAACTAACCTATGCTACAGTCTGCCTTAAGTTCTTGAATGAAACTCCTGTGCTACTACTCTCTCTGCTCTGCTTTGGGGATCTTATTTACAAGCATAAAGGCAACCCATAGCAAAAACAAAGCCCACTCAGGCCGCGAGCAAAACAGAAGGAGGAGGGATGTGCTTGCAAATCTCGTGAGTGAAATACTTCCTTTTTTTAATACCTGAGAACGCCTTGATAGTACCTGATGCTATCAAGTCAGAAATAGAGCGCTAAGGATATCCTCCAGAATGGTGACCGAAACACATCAGGATTCAAAACCCCAAGTCCCAGGGGGCTGAGGGGGGTGGGGTGGGGGTGGTGGGGGGTGGGGTGTGAGAGGGAGAGGCTTGCTTTTTCCTTCATGCTATTCTGTACTATTTGACATTTTAACGCTAGACACATATTATAATAATTTAGAAATGTATCTACTAAAAAGTAAAAATCAAACACCAAAAAAGCAGGTGGTAACATTAGGTGTGAAGAAAGCCCTAATTAAAGAACATTTCTTCCCGGCTGGCGATATTTGCTTGCTTCGGCCTTTAGCTAATGAGGTATCTACTGTCCTTAGGGGATGCCTGCTTCTGGTGTTGGATTCCTGTTCTCTGCGTTGACACACTCCATCATCCTAAATCAGCGTGTGCACTTAACAGTGCTATTTAAGCCTTGATAAATATTGTATCAACACTCACACGGGAATGGTATGAAGAGAGAGACAGGAACTCATGCCGCTAAGAAGGACTTTCGCATCAGGGCAATTGTGTTCACATCAGTCCAAGAGACGGACACAGAGAGAAACAAATTCCCCCTGCAACTTTAGAACATGTGACAGAAACTGCTTAGCACATTCTCCTGGCAATAGGAGCAGGCCTGCGGGGCTCATGTGTCCCCGCCCTTGCCTGTCTCTACTCTTTCGTGTGTTGCTTCTGAGGTCTTGGAGTCTGGGCACTTCCTGGGATCTTCTCTTGGGGAACGAAGTCCCTGTCCCTAGTTCTGGCTAGCCCAGGGATTTGCCTTGGTGACATTCCAACTGGCAGCTAGTTCTTCCTGGCTCAACCCAGGAGGCTCAGAGTTCTCTTTCTCTTGCTCCGCTCATCTCCTCCACTGAGTCCACGCGGTCAGTGGACGTGCTGGCCACAACTGGCTGGTGCTTGACCTCCCTTCTCTTTCCTTGTTGGGTGACTCTTGGCCCCCTTTCCCCTTAGGCCTGACTCCTCCCATTCTCATGGTTTTTCACCTGCCTCAACCTCCAGTTCCTGGGAGCATACTGGGTTACATGTTGGATTGCTAACCTCAAGGTCAGCAGTTTGGAACCACCAGCTGCTCTTTGGGAGAAAGACAAGGCTTTCTGTTCTCATAAAGAGTTACAGTCTCAGAAACCCTAAGGGACACTTCTTCTCTGTCGGTCACTGTGAGTTGGAATCCACTTGATGGCAGTGAGTTTAGCTTTTTGTTTTGGTTTCTATAACTGCTTGACAGAGTTCTTGCCACATGACTGGATTGTGTCTGGGTCTCTGAGGCAGGATCCCTGGGTATTACAAATGGTCAATGGCCTTGGCTGCTTCCCGGAAGGTTGGAGGTTCAAGTCCTTGACCTGGTCCCCAGTTCCTCAGAAGAAAACCTTGACTGCCTTCTTCAGCTCTGGAAAAGTCTACGGAGCCCAGGTCGACTCTGACACACCTGGAGTGACCAGGAATGAGAACTGGCTTGACGATAATAGCCCACCATCCTGACAGAACTACTTTGGAAAGGTCAACACATATTTGGATGCACGTTCAAACATCTGCCACATTATGCTGTTTGGGAGTTTGCATGCTGTTTTTTAGTTTTGTGCTGTTTTTTGTTTTTTTTGTGTGTTTTTTAACCGACAACTCTACTCATCCTGCTTAGGTTTCCAAATGTCTTCTGACTGTCTCTGACTCGCTGTTTCTCTCAACATGCCTCAGCCTTTGAGCCTTCAAGTCAAAACTTTCACAGAAGTCTCTGTCAGGATTATTTGTAGTACAATCCCGGAATCCCAACTCAAATAGAAGTAAGTCACAAACTAAGAGGTATGGTTTGAATTCCTTCCATCTCCCAGATGTGCATTAACTTGGCTGGGCCCTGGTGCTCGGTACTGTGGAACCCTTCTTCATTTTTCGTGATCTGATGTAATTATCCTAGGTGCTGTAACTCCGAACCTCTGTGCCATTAATGAGGCAGGGTGAGTGGCAGCTCTGCTAATGAGGCAGGCTGCATTCTAGAGCAGGCGTCCTCAAATTACAGACCGTGGGTCACATGCGGCCCGCCGAGGACATTTATCAGGTCCACCAGGTGTTTTTGCCCCATTTGTTTTTTTACCTCAAAATAAGATATGTGCAGTGTGCATACAAATTTGTTCCCAAAAATAAATAAATAAATAAATTTTAAAAAATTATTTTTTCATAGTTTTTTTAAGTCATTTTATTAGGGGCTCATACAACTCTTATCACAATCCATACACACATCAATTGTGTAAAGCGCATTTGTACATTCATTGCCCT